GTCATATTCACTGGAGAGAAGTGATGCATTCTTGAATTGTGTTATAAAAAGGAAGGTGTACATTGTCAGGGCCTTAAGAACGCTGTATTCTATCATTCTTTAGCTCTTGGAAGGACTTTGACCACTTCGAACACCTCCTCCGCGCAAATTATGATGGGAAATCGAGTGATATGAACGGTTTCTCCTGGTGGCTGGCGAAGGTGTCGGTGTGGTGTGTTTTTGTACCAGATCCTCTAGCTCTCGTATCTTACCTGTAGTGCTTTCATTTGGATAACAGCTGGTTCATACGGGCGAGGGTTTGTCCCCAAACCTGCTGTTGCATTAACTCTGAATCAACACATATCCCAAATGGCAGAGGAGATTCCCTCTTTATCTAAATGTCTGCTAAGTACATAGTGGTACCTGGGGTACTGTTTTCTATTTGGAGAATTGGTGAGCCTGCTCTTAAGACTTTGCCACTTTTTTTTACAACTTCAAGGGTTGGTTTAAAGCACTCAAACACTCACTCGCTAAAACGGTGAGCCACCATGAAATCATCATTTACACTCAACTATGAAAGTACATATTTTATGAAAAGTAGTTGCCCTTTTAAATGTAATTTAAAATTCGTGATTAAATTTAATTCTCTTTTTAAATGTAAAATCAATATATACATTAATCTATATTTGTTAACCTTAAATTATTCGTTTCTTTGTATTATTGCTTAATCAACTTTTAAATACCATTTTTATCTTCTTATACGTATATGTCCACACTTACAATTTAATAATTGCATGGAACCGTAGAATGCTATTCGAACAAATTTATCACTACATAAATGTTTTGTACGATACGAAGATGACTTTGGCTCTTTTTGGATGGTTGATGACAATGAGTTCATTAAAAGACGTCATTTATCTCGGGGTCGCCCTCGAAAATATGAACCATCTTCGTCACCAAATTCAAATTATTCAGACTGCGCAATTCATACTAATAAAGACTCCTGTGATAATTGTTGTCAATCTTGTACTAATACAGTTGCTGATCAGGAAAACAGAATAGAAAATAAGGATGTAAGTGAAGTCTGTCAGAAATCTTGCTTTAACTTATATAATGAAAGCCGAGGCAAAAAAGATCAAACAACTATTGATGAGGGTGCAAATGGGAGTGAGTTCAAAAGCAGATGTTCCAAAACTATTGCAAAATCGGAGGCAGTGGTTTCGGTGACTAACGACTTTATTAATACTGATGATGATGCAGAAACTATGCATCACAAAGATATAAATCATTTCTATTATTAGTCGCGTTATATATAACTGCGTTGAAAGCATTGCTGTTTATTATTCGAAAATTTATTAGGATTCGGCACAACATTGCCCTGATGTATGATCGAAGTTAGAGTTACATACAATATGCAAAAAGGTATTTATAAATAAAATGATAAGCCTATCTTTGATATTCATGAATGTAATTATTGTTGTATAAGGGGCTTGGGAGGTACCATAAAATTAAAGTACTAATATAATGTAGCCTACGAACTCATTTGGTGTACTGAGTTCTAAAAATGTATAAATTTAGTATATTGGTTTTGTTCGCAGTTGTGAAAGCATCTCCTATTATTTTAATAAAGCGTATTTATCACGATTAAAGCGTCTCCTACCCCATATCAATTGTCCGTCCTCCCGTATGCATATATATATCCTTGATCAGCACCAATAGCCGAGTCGATCAAACCATGTCCGCCTGTCTGTCCGTATGTCCGTTTGTCCGTCCGTCCATCCATCTGTCCGTATGTATGAATGAACCTATAAGTGCCAGAGACTTAAAATTTTAGCTGTAAGTCCTCCTAATGCCTGCACAGATCGAGTTTATTTCCGATAATCGATAACTTACTCCGTTTCCAAGCAATCGATAACAATCGATATCGGCATCCTGTTTTTTTTAAGCAAATTGGGTAAATATTAAAAGCTAGAGTTACCAAACTTGATATGTTTATTCTACATATATATATATGTATATATCAAGTATTTTTCATTTTATACCTATCGCCACCTTCCCGCTACCACCGCAGCCACAATTCTAATGCAATTTACTTTTTGAGAATACACACATATTCTATGGTACAATAAGATATGCTGCAGAATTTCATGAAGATCGGTTAAGAAACACGTGTTTGCGGCACCAGCGCAAATTCGAAGAATATCTGCATACATGTACACACACACATTCATGCGCGTCTGGTTCGCATACATCAACAGCATTGCAATTACGATTGTATTGTTTTCCGTGCGACTATTTTAATTCGTTTTTTGTCACTGCGACTCAATTATTGGTGTGGCTGTTGAGTAGAGGCTGTGGCAAGTGATGTTGTCTGACGCGAGTGCGAGACCTACCGAGAAAACTTTTTTTTTTGTGGCTGGTGTGAGGGTTGAGCAGAGACGACGGAAAGGGTATCCCCTAGTCGGGAGCTCCCACTAGAACCTCCTACTTGTTATACCCTGAACCCATTGAAAATGGGTAA